TCCCTCCTCTGCTGTGCAGATTTCGTCGCTACAGGTCACCAAACCTGTCTGGTTTGGAAAAGTAACTTCTGGAGCCTGCAACTGGAGATTTCTTTGGGTCGTCTTTCCAGGATGAGTCCTGAAAGATAGCCCACGGACGGAACAGAAGCTACTAAGCTGATGTGTCAGCTCATGCTGTCTGGGGGGACTTATTTTAAGAGACAGGGCTATCATCTTTAACATACTAGCTATCAGTCAGATTGCTGGTTGTGGCCTGTATAGATTGAGTCCAGGCTATCGGACGTTATCTCCCCATACGAGATCTTCTGGGAAGGCCCTCCTCGTGTTCCCAATTCTGTCCGATAAGGATCCGAGACAGAGCCTTCTCAATGATTGTCCCCAGATTATGGAATGGCCCCTCCCCGGTGAGGCCAGATTGCCCCCATCTCCTTTCCCTGCAGAGAAAATGGAGAATATTTTTGTTCTTTTCATATTTAATTTTAACATAGCTTGATGCCCTATGCTTTATGCCTTCATATCTTTTTCTGTGCATGTAGATTTTAATTGTTGTAAACCTTTTGATCTCTTTCTTAAGTTTTGACTTCAAAAATTTTTAACTTTTTAACGATTCGCCTATCTTGTTTTAAGCAGCCTGCGAGCTGCTTTTGAGATGTGCCTGCTGGGAGAAAGGTGGCATAAAGGTGTGATAATACCAACGCTCTGCCTCTTTTGGTTCTGTCAAGAGAGATCTTGCCAGCGCTCAAGAACCCACTGTTTGTTCTAGGAACCCCCATGCTGACAGGGAGAAGAAAACAGTGATTTTAGTCTAAAAGCATAATTTCCCCAAATTTGACAGAGGCTGTTCAGAAGTCTAGAGTGTTCAGTTGGTTAGTTTGGCCGTGGGAAGGTGTGTGTGTGTGTTTGTGTGTGGCATTTCTCTGACGCAATCATTTGCACAGTGATGCCCCTTCCTGTGCTGCTTAAAAATAATTAATGGAATATAGGCAGGTGGCAAAGTAGAAAGCAAAGCCTTTGGCTACATTTATGTATAAAGCTAAATTAGTTGGGTTCTTGCTCATTGGTGTATAAGTATAAAGCTAAATTAGTTGAGTTCTTGCTCTTGCTTCTAGTGTTGCAATGTTCAATAAAGATTTGCTAAGTTTTAGGCTGTGTTGCTCCATGAGAAGAGGTGGCGAGTTATCTTTCCTTCTCCTGGCATGTTGTTGTGCTTTGGGAGTCTACACCCAAAAAAGGCAGACAGAGGTTCCTCTTGAGTATGTAAGCCATCCTGCTGGAGTTCCTAGTAGTCAGCTGGTACTGGTCAACTTTCCATGCAACACACCCGTAATCACCCATCTCCTGAAAAGGACAAAAGCTGATCCAACAGCTATAAATACCCAACTCCCAAACAAACTGCACCAGAGCACAGAGTGCTACTCCTGTCCTCTGAAGATGCCTGCCACAGAGACTGGCGAAACGTTAGGAAGAACAGCCTTCAGAACACAGCCAAAGAGCTCGAAAAACCCACAACAACCTTTCCATGCATTTGGGGTGTCTGGGAGATAAAAGTGCTAATTAATGATTGAGATGATGGGCTGGAACCCCTCCCCATGAGTGCATTTACTTGTGATGGAGTGTTCCAGCCTGCTAATTCCGTTGCCAAGAACATTACAGGCTAAGGTGTGTGATGTCAGGCCAGAGTGTTAGTGGCTCTTAACGAGGTTCTGACTTGCCCGCAGTAAAACACGGAATTTGAGTCTTAATCAGGGACAGCGCCTGAAATGAGATGCACATTGTTTTCTCTGGCATATCCTGGGAAAACTGCATGGTACAGCCACACCCTCTGCTCTATTATCTGTTCTCCCCCCCCCCCAAAAAAAACAACCCTCACTAATATTTTCCTTATCATGTTCTTGGCAGTGGTTGATCTTTGTTTACTCCTTATTGTTTTTCTGCTGGTCTTAGGATAGAAGTCGTAGTTTCAACAGAATGCTTCCAGACTGGCCTAAACTGTAGATTTTGGATAGGCATGTTGTGAAGCTTTCCTGTCTTGCAGTTCTGATGCTGGGGGGGTGGGGGTGGGTCTTCAGTCTGCTTTGGTTCTCATCATCATCCACGGCCATGAATTTGCAGGGGGCAGAACGGCTCACATGGTCCTGCCTATTGCAGGACTACTTTTATTTATTTATTTATCTTGTTTGTTTAACTTCTAGACAACCCGTCTTCTAACCCATGGCCACGCTGGGTGGTGTGCAATAGTCAAAATAATTATAGCACGTACAAATTAAATTATGCAATAAACTAAAGTTAATTTAAAATCAATTGGGCGGCTTTTGGAAGAAGAATGTTCTGCCTTTCTCCAGAGCACTTCATTTCTAGTCAAGACAGGGCACAATCTTTTTCCCAAGATTCAGTCGTCCTGTGCTCCTCCAACACCTTTCTTGTTGTTTTATTTATATACATTCCATATGCGTTGCCTCCGACGCATTTTTGGTATCACCTGGCAGGACAAAGTTCCAAATAGAGTAGTCCTAGAATGAGGTGGAACTTTTAGCATATATATATATTACTGAAACAGCGACGTCTACATTGGCTTGGGCATGTTGTGAGAATGGCTGATGGTCGGATTCCAAAAGATCTCCTGTATGGAGAATTAGTACATGGAAATTGCCTCAGAGGGAGACCACAGCTGCAGTACAAGGAGATCTGCAAGCGGGATCTGAAGGCTTTAGGAATGGGCCTCAACAGATGGGAAACCTTGAAATCCGAGCATTCAGCCTGGAGGCAGGCGGTGCATCATGGCCTCTCCCAATTTGAAGAGACCCTTGTCCAGCAGGCCGAGGCAAAGAGGCAGTCTCAAAACCAGCAAAATCAGGGAGCTGGACAGGGGACAGACTGTGTTTGTCTTCCGTGTGGAAGGGATGGTCACTCTCGAATTGGCCTCCTCAGCCACACTAGATGCTGTTCCAAGTCCTCCATACAGAGCATGTTACCATAGTCTTTTGAGACTGAAGGATGCCTAATGTAATGTAATTTATTTCTAGCATGTATTGAGTGCCCCGCTTGGTGGAAACCACAGCTATGGGCGGTACTGAAAGGGAGAGAAACGTCCATTGCATTGCATCCATACGGGCAAATGTTTCATTTCTAGCAAGGACCGCCTTGGGAATTGAGCAAACCAAGATTTACCCAAGATATTTTGCTGTCTGAGGCAACGGACAAGATGGCAGGTTTTTTCCCCTCCCTACTTGGCCCACACAGAAGGTGTCTGGCAGGGCACCTTAGACACTGTTAGAATGACCATATTTTCCATTGCACCGGGAGGGGGGCATGAGATGGTCCAATATGTTGCCAGTGTGCCTTCCCCCCCAGCATCTGTGGCCAGCATTGTCTTCCTCACTCTGCCTAATAGCAGGGCCTGCCCTGGAGCAACGACAGTATGATCAGCAGTGTGTACTTTTTGCCAGCAACATCTCTCCATGGAAATCGAGATCCAGAGAAAGGAGTTTAAACCCATTTCTTCCCTAGAATAAATACCAGTAGTTGGTACTGTTGGCAGGGTTCATTGCTCACATGCCTTAGCTGTCTGCTGTTGTCGATTGCTGGGGAAGAAAGGAGTAACAGAGGGCCAAGATAAGCGGAAGGCTGCTTCCCAAAATGACAGCAGCATGGAATTAGTTTCCCCTTCTATAAGGTCTAACAAACTTGTCTTGTGTTTTGATGGCCTGTGTCAATCTACCTACTAGCCCGCATCATTGTCTGCCTATCGATACGATGTGCCTGTAAGGGAACAAAGACCAATGGGACATGGCCATGGGGTGTGTGAATTCTAGATGTTCAGGAGGACGAGAAAGACCTACCTGAGTAGCAGCCATGGTTGGCTTTTGATACCAAGAGAGGCAGCTGAGATAGTGTGTCTGCTGAAATGTGGGAAGGGGGGTTATCATCATCCTAGATGTGCTTGTTGAACAGACAGGAAGCAATCAAGTGCGGGATTAGATTCCTACATCTTCAGTTGTTGCATGATGTTCTTTTGTTTTCACCGAGATGATGCCAGGGTTGCTGAAATTTTATACCTTTAATTTAAAGCCACCACACCCTCCTGTCTTTCAGGGTTCCCCCTCAACCCTTTCTCATTCACATTCCTGTATTTTCCCCCAAAGCGCTCATATTTCTGCAGTTGCTCATTTAACCACTTCTGTCTTCCTGGTTGCTCACAGTGCCAAGCCGCTGCAGTGTAAATGAAACAACAACAATAACAAAATGCTCACGTTTCTCTTTCTGCAGCAACTTGCTGCATCATGGGAATAGACTTTGCTGAAATAGCAAATGGTAGGCTGGATCCCTGGCAAGAGAATAAGGTAGCCCCAGAAATGTTACCCCATGAACAAGCCCACCCCGACAAAATGCCTCATTTGTGTAATGAATCATTATGTGTGTGATTATTGTGAGATCAGCATATTGAATTATATTGGCTAGCTATTGAGTAACGCTAAACTATTGCTTAACTTTACAGCAATCAGTTTTTGATTCTTTCTCTCTTTAGTGCTTCTTTTTTATAGGTACAGTGGTGCCCCGCACGACAACGATAATTCGTTCCCTTGAAATCGCTGTACAGCGAAATCATCGTCATGCGCAAACAGTTTCCCCATTGGAATGAATTGAAAATCGGTTAATGCGTGCCAATGGGGAAAATACCTCGTCGTCCAGCAAAAATCCTCCATAGGGCAGCCATTTTGCGAGTGCCAATCAGCTGTTTTTAATTGCTGTCTCCCGAAGCATGGAAAACAGCGGGAAGCCATTTTGCGAAGCCAACAGTCAGCTGTTGTGCGAATAAATGGTCCGTAAAGCACGGACCAAATCGTTGTGAAACGGAATTTCCCCATTGAAATGCCTGTTTTGTGAATTGCTATAGCGATCGCAAAAAGTCATCGTCCTGTGGTTTCGTCATTTAGAGGGGTCGTCGTCATGCGGGGCACCACTGTACTTCCTGATTTGTTGCAAACTATAGTTTGCCAGTTGGGGTGTAATGGAAAACTATCATTGTGGTGTACCTTGTAAAGCAGAGTTTCGTGTGTTTGTGATCCTGTATTATTGGGCAACTGCAAATCAGATTCATTGACTTAGATTTGAAATTAGGAAAGGAATCAGTTAAGCAAAAGGAGCAGGAGATGGAAAAAAACAGTAAACATACATGCGTGTACAATCAAACCATGGTTTGTCATTACATGTAGGCTAGACCTGCATAGTGGAATTAGTGGTTTTGCAACTGTATTCTAGGAAATCCTGGGCTAATGTGGAATTTTAGAGGTCTTTGCGGAGATCTTCCCAAGAATTTGCAATTGTGGAGGTGGTCTGGAGTAGATCACAAAGTAACTTGACATTTGAAACTTCTGTTTCCAAGGGCCAGATGCTAGTAGCTCATCCTGCTATGTTCTTTTTGACTGGGTTTAGGCCAGAAGACGCACAATGAGTCATTAAAGTCTCTAGGAGCCTAGTCCTCCCATGCTATTCAAAACAAAACAGGTGATTCTGGCAACAGATCCCCATTGTTCTTGATGTGCCTGTTCTAATTGAAAGACTCTTTCCATTTGTATAGTTGCAGTCAGTAAATCTACAGAGTTCTGCAATGATTTTTTTTTTACTTTATAGCTCTGCTGTCTTTCTATGTTGGTGCTGGTGGATGCTCACATAAAAAAAAGTCAGGAAAAGTGGTAATATTTTTTATTTTTATTTTTTCATTAAACCATATGGTCTTCATTGTCTGTGATATACAGTTAGGGTTGATTATAGGCAGCAGAGTTTTATGATATAGGCATAAATTACCATTTTCACAACATAGGTCTTGTCATTCCTCATTCCAGAGCATGGATTCCCAACCTGTGGGTCGTAACGCCCAAAGGGATCACAAAATGTTTTTTTGGGGGGGGCGGGAGCTGTCGCCGTGGTTATTTTTGGTTGCAATTATTTTTATAGGAAATTTCACCACAATGGTTTTCAATACTTACCGGTATTTATTACCCAGACGCAAGCACAGCCATAACATTAAATATTAGGTTAGAATTATATTCTGAAAAATCTATTTTAATGCGTTTTATTTACCCCATTAAAATGCCTCTTTATGCAGATGTGGTGGGGGTTGCAGGTTACTTACCTATTATAAAAAGGGGGTACAGCTTGTAAAAGGTTGGGAAACGGTTCTAGAGAGATCACAGATTAAAAATGACAAAATTGAGGCAACTGTTGTACTTTGGTAACGTATTTATTTTTTTATTTTTTTTATTTTATTTAATTTATATCCCGCCTATCTAGTCGCGGTGGACTACTCTAGGCGGTAGTGAGAAGATAGGATTCGCTATCAGAGACAATATTGCTGGGAAAATTTGAAGGCAGCAGGAAAGGAGAAAGTTCAAATGTGAGATGGATTGAATCAATAAAGGAAGCCATAACCTTGAATTTGCAGAAACTAACCAAGACTCATGACAGGACATTGGTGAGGTTATTAATTTATAAAGTTGCCATACATCAGAGGCCCCTTGATGGCACATAACAGCAGCAGCAGCAGAGGTTGGGCTACGTTATCCAAAGTTCGAGAGGGGGGAATACATTTTAGTAATTGTTTTGAGTACAGTGGTGCCTCACTTAACGATGATAATCCGTTCCAGGAAAATCTCCGTTAAGCGAAAATATCGTAATGCAGGGGGGGAAAACGCATTGAAACCCCTTCAGTGCATTCCAATGGGGTCAAAACTCACCGTCCTCCATAGGGCAGCCATTTTCGCTGCCTGTCTTGCGAGGAATCTGCCCCAGAAAACAGCCGGGAGCCATTTTGTTTACTCGGCCATTTTGAAACCGCCGATCAGCTGTTTAAAAACGTCGTTTTGCGAAGAATCGGTTCCCGAAGCAGGAAACCGATCATCACAAAGCGAAAAAACCATTTAGACCATCGTTTTGTGATCGCAATTGCGATCACAAAAGATAGTCGTAATGCGGTTTCGTTGTAATGCATTGCAGTCGTAAAGCGAGGCACGAGTGTATTCCTGTTCCTTTGAATCCTTTGTAACAGCATGTACAATCTATTTTTGCATTTGAACATAAAAATCTAAACATTCATTCACCTTTGCCCTAAGGGCTACTTTCAGATTGCATTTTTCCCCCTGAGCTGCTGCCATGTTGTTACCCACTTACATGGACTTTTGAGTTAACAACCTCTTTAGATTGAATCCTGGGGCAAAAAGTACAGATTCTGAAAGCTTTCTGGTTCTGTATAGGTAGCAATTAACCTAGGCAAGGTAGGTAAATTGTACCAAGCTTCCTGGATACCTTTCCAAAATAGTAAAAATTAATAGAAGAAGCAACTTGTATGTTGTTACCAAAGGCTTGGCAGTATATTTTGTTCTAATGGGCCGGAGCTGAAAACAGTGCGTTTAAGAGGCGAACAGGGTTTCATTTTTTTTGCAAACATCTTTTCCTGCCCTAAAAAGAGCCTTATTTGTTTGCTGAGTTCAGGAACGGAGGCCACAAACAGGACCCTGGGAAAAGTTGAAAGCGTTTGCCTTCACAAGGTTAAGGCAGCAAATATTGTCTGGAGTCTCTCCATGACATATTTGTCCAGCCAGCTTAAAATTCACAGTCCAGCGAAGATCCTCCATACGGCGGCCATTTTCGCTGCCTGTATAGTGAGGAATCCGTCCCTAAACACAGCGGGAAGTCATTTTATTTACCCAGCGATTTTGAAACCGTCTATCAGCTATTGAAAAATCATGGTTTTGTGAAGAATAGGTTCCTGAAGCAGGTAACCGATCATCGCAAAGCAAAATTCCCCCATTTAGACCATCATTTTGTGATCGCAAAAAGATCGTTGTAAAGCAGATTTGTTGTAATCGTAAAGCGAGGCACTACTGCATTTGTTTGCAGAGTTCAGGAAGAGAGACCTGGGAAAAGTCTAAAGCATTTGACTTCACAAGGTTAAGGCAGCAAATATTGCCTGGAGTCTCCGTGACATATTTGTCCAGCCAGTTTGATTGGCTTCATTGTGTCCCTACCTTGAATTTGTGATACTTGGTTGGTTAGGTTCATTATACCTATTAGGAAGAAAATGCTTGTTCATTTTGTAAGCAATGGCAAAGTAGCTAAACGAAGGGGCAAGTGTAAACAAGGCAGGCATCTGGAGGGCTTTTTTATGAAACAGCCTTTCCCTCTTACACGTACAGATCACACAAAGCTCTGATTTCCCCCCCTGTAAATATTTACTGGCTTGGATTTCAGACTGCTCCTTCCCTCTCAAGTGCTAAGAGTTCCCCTGGTAATTTTGTGGCGTTCTTCTTAAAACAAACAAAGAAAGAAAACAAACACATCCAAACAACCGACACAACTTCTTACATAAGCATTGCATGAACCACAGCCAGAAACGACATAAAATATGCAATGAGACTTTTTTTAAAAAACCAAAACAGAATGGTTGAAAAGAAAGACGGGCAGGAAAACCACATAATATTGAAGTCATCAGAATTAGCGTCAGCAGGAGAGAAGGGCCTTGGTATGTTAATGGTGGTTCTACAGCAGACAGCACCCTGGATGACGGCAGCCCTCCCTGTTCTCTTCCAGCAAAATCTGGACAGAGAAGGACATGGTTCAAGAACAGGACTCGTACACTTGGGATTAAAAAATTGGATAACCCTGATCAGAAGTAGAGAATGAAGATGGTCTCCTAAACTGGATTGATTGCACACACATCCTCAGACTAATTTTGC